CATTGAGCCGCACATAACCAAGCTTAATTTTAATCGCTTGGATATATGGCAGCAGGTCACCTACTATCAACAGGTGTTCTGGGCGCGCTGGTGTGAAGAGTATTTAAGTCTACTTCAGCAGAGATCCAAGTGGCGTAGGGTCCAGCCCGGCATCTGCATCAACGATGGCAGATGGCGTCGTGAGAGTTGCTGAACTGAAGACTGCCACTGGACTAATCAGAAGAGCCGTTGGCAAGCTGTGTCCACTGCCGAAACAAGATTCTGTTGAAGACCCAAGATCTTCAACGGGGGAAGAATGTTTGGTATTGCAGGCGCCACAGCCAAAAGGCAATAATTCATCATAAATACATAAATGTTTAATTCGATCACAAAATCACTCAATTTGTAATCTTGCTCTATGCAGCAAGTTGAGTCATTTAACGGCCTTAGCCATTGCCTAAGGCTGCAGCGGCCGAATCTTTCTACTTGTTAACCAACTGTTAAATCGCATCGTTCGTTGTTCACTTGTGTCGATACGGCAAACCCTAGTTTTCCGTCTACTAGACCAATTTTTACATTAACATTGCACTTCGGCAATTGTTTAATAAATTGAATTGCATTTCGGCAATTAACATTTACATAAGTTTGTTTTTTGTCGCTTAATACTGTAATACTGAACTTGTACTATTTTAATCGCCCCCAAACGTTTATAAATAAATAGCATTTTTAATTCGAACAATTTCGCACAGTTGAATATTAATTTTTGCCTATTATTAGTTATAGAAAAGACTATAACTACACAGTGCTTGTACCTAAAAATACCGAAAAGAAGGCTTAAATTGGCGGCAACCTTTAATAAATAAAAACAATACTGTATATACTGTAAGACCACTTGTTGAGCTTCAGGACACTGGCATGTCTTATCAGGCAATATCAACAGAGGTAAGTTGCATAAAAAGGACGGTTTTCAATGATCTTGAACATTTGCAAAATTAGAACACAACAGAAAATATTCCACGCAAAACATCGGAGCACAAAGATAGCAAAGTTGTTCGTATGGGTAATTTAGATCCACGTAGGGGATCTGTAGACATCCAGCTTGAATTTTGGTATCAAAATGATGCAACAATATCTTAAAATGCGGTCGCTGGTCGGTTGCTTGAGGCTAGGGTCCATCGGTGAAACTTACACATCACGCAGATAGTGACAATATCGCAAAGACGACGACGCTGGAACCCATGTTGATTGAATGGTTAACAAATGGAAATATTTAGTCCGGACTGAAATAATTAACTGACTTGGTCTTGATATAGAAAATATATGCGAAGCCAAAAAGTAGTAAAACTTAATCCAAAATGTGTGTCAACTGTCGTCAAGTATGGTCGAGGGAAAATAAATATTTCAGATTGTTTCTCTCGAGAGAATTGTGTCTTGGGAGAAGTAAGTCGATATATTGAGGGATGTCTTGATAGCATAGGCAAATAAAAAAATTACGGCTGCTTGGGCCTATAAGCAAGATAGAGTCATTATAACATAACATGCGCCTCGTCCAACAAAACAATATTTGGACACAAGTTTTTTTAGAATTCTTGAATGGCCATTGTGCAGTCCTGATCTAAATCGCATTAAACATTTATAGAACGACGTTAAAAAAGTGGTCGCCCAACAGAATGTATCAAATTTGAACATGTTATTCAAAAAAATTAAGGATGCATGGTATGGAATACCTGTGGAAAGATGCCGGCGCTTTATAATGTCCAAGCAACGCCAATGTTCAGCTGTATTAAAGCAGAAAAGTTATCCCATGGTGTAAAATCTAAAACTATAATTTTATTGAATTTTTCCTTAAGTTTTCATACTTTTTTTGTACTAATCAAGCAAACGTTGTTAATTAGTTGTCCCGGTCAAACCCGAGGTATGGGCTCCTGCCCTCATAAAAAATATTTAAGTTAGAAATTTGAACTCAACTGTGGTTTGTTTTTAAGTTCATAGGTCTCAAATATAGATTATGTGTACATTTTATGGAGCACTTCAAAAAATGTAGGAAAATTATGAAATCCTGAACCGGCACCATCGTTGTTAATTAGTTGTCAACAGCTGTACATATTGTAGCATGCACCATACCGATGTAACCCAAATCTAGTAAATGGTTAAAATTAATTAAATACATATCTACTTATATGTTGTAATATCTAAATGTTACCTGATAGGCATTCAACGTCCACATTTGGCTGCTTAACTTCCGCATTTGACTAAGGTTTTAAAAAACTATAATTGCCTGCTGAGTCCATATATGATTTTACTTCCGCCCCATATTTAACGTTGCTGTCAACATTTCGCCCTTTTATGTTATTATACTGTAATAAGATTTTTTCTATATCGTCGTTGTTGATTTTAAACAACTCTAAAATTAAAAAAAAAGGCTCTTTGATTGTTCGTAATACATTCTTCGACCGAAAACTTATTTTTTTTAATTTCTAAGTTTTATGTGCATTTCAAAATCGTCTGCAAAAATGTCTCATTCGACATCGGGCGTAATAGTTTTGGATTTAAGTTAGTGAATTAAATATAAATTGCACAAATTCCAGCTTTAAAAAAAATGAATAATGCTAAGTCAGCCCAAAAAAGGATAGATTTCCGGCTGTTTGATATTTTTTCAGGCTGAAGCAATTTTTAAAAGGATAGATCTATCCGGAAAAAGGCTAAAATGGCAACACTGACGCTGTACGAGTTTGTTTTATTTTTATGATTTTTCCCCCACTTCCCCCCTATGGGGGATTTTCTAGATTTTCCATTAGTATAATCGGCTATATGTCGGAGACTATAAGACCTAGGGACCCGAATTTTAGTCCCACATGCCTTATGTCAATACGCAGAAAATGTGTATTTTGGAATTTCCCTCCCTCCTCCCTCTCCCACGCAAATCGCAACTCTCGTAATTCTTGGAATTTCGAACTCAAATTTGGCAAGTACCTCCAGTTAGTGATTATCCGTATGCCAAGTTTCATTATGATAGACCGATTTAACAAGAAGTTATAGCCATAAATATATTTGCTGCTCAAGCGCTGCTTTTGTTTATGTTGCTGTTTGGTTGACTGCAAACATGCTCACACAGACACGAATAGACGCGCATAGACATTATTCATACACTCACATAGACACAAGACATTCCAGACAAATTTGTAACACTGTCAAGCAAGTCCTGTTTTGAAAATCTATCGTTAAGGGAAATAGTGCGTGTTAAAAGTATGTCGATTTCTCCCTTGTCGAAGAGTTCCAAAGTGTATATGATTTTATGAGTGTGGTCCTGAGAATAGTATTTTTGTTTTAATATTTCATTTAAATAAATTGAACTTTCAATTATCTTACCCGTATTTGTTTTGAAACAGCAGAGCAAATTCGTGACTTTTTTCATATTCGGCATCTATGGATGAATTTAAAAAATGTTCTTTAGCTCGAATTTTATTTCGCAAATTTCGAAAAATATGCTATTTAAAACACAAATTTAACGTCAATGATTTAAAAATAATACAAACATAAAATAAAATGTATGTATGTTCTGACGCAAGACTAATTGGACTAACAGATGAAAAAATGTGTAAACTCTACAAACATTTGGACACGCTGCGTTGAACATGCAAATCCTAAGAATTATTATTTATTCAAATAATAGTTTGCTTTGCCTTGCATTTCTTAAGAAGACTAAGCAACAAAACTCATTTTTAACAAATTAAGCCTGTGTCCAGGTTTTAGTTCTATTTAAACAGCGTCTTAAGAAGAATGAGCTTCGTAAAAGGAATACTCCTTAGTGAAGAAAACTCCTTTTAAGAAAACAAGAGAGAATGCTACAGTCGAGTAAGCCCTACAGTGAAATACCCTGTACCCAGACAAACTTCCGGCTCTGAGTTACAAGTATATACGCCCATAGCAGAAGCAAAAAGTAGAAGACCGAAGTTCATGCCGCAGCTTGTGGGAGTAGTACCGGAGTGAAATAATCTTGCTAATAACTTTTCTTAGAATTGCCCGAGTTGGATAAAATTTGAAACAAAAGTATATAATTGTACCAAGTTTGGTTTATGTAGCTTTGGATATGTGGTCAGTATTAACGAAATTCTGTAGCGGAGGAAGGGGAGAGAATACATTTTTGGGCGGCCAGCCTTATTCCCAGCATCAAAATGACCATTAATTACAACAACCATGTTAGAAGCAAGCCATTTTTTTGAATCTCTCTAGAATTCGATTACAACGTGGCACGTGCGTTTTGATATATTTGGCGAAGGGTTTGACTTTTCCCGATGTCAACATAGTATTACATTAATCTAAGATTTAAACGTTAATTTACTGCAATACATACTGCTTAATTGTATCTTCTGAGCCTTTGTAGCTGCATCCAGTATCATCAAGTTCTGCATGCTCTTATACAAGTTTTGCTGTAATAAACGCGGTTTTTTCTAAACTAGGCTTTCCATTTAAAACGTTTTGCAACGATGTGTCATGCACAAGTTCTTTATGAAACACACACTTGTTAGGGTTAATTACACACAAGGAAAACGCAACACAATTGAACAAAAACACACAGCAATGACAAAATTGTTATCAAACTGTAATTTGTAATACTTGGACTAACGTTATCAATTAAAACACTTTTTATTTAGCTTTTAATTTGTACAGCACACGCACTTAATGTTAGAAAATATTTCCCGCCAATTTAGCAAAACCATATGACACATAATTGACAGAATTTAAATGCGCGCTAACATACCAGTCTTGCTACAAATGTTTTACTTAATAATTTGACTGATCTGGGAGCCACTACATGAAGTCCTCTCTTTTGGCTTCAGGAAGAATTGGCAGCCCTGATTTGGAAGTGTTACCATGAAAATACGAATTAATAATGCTACCAAGTAATTTTTAAAGCAATTTGCCGATAGCCTAATGGCGGTCAAATATTTTGGCAAAGGTCATCGAAAATAAATGTAAGAGGAATCGATAGGCACTGAATAATTTCTTTTTCTTCCTGCAGTTTGTTTTGATGTCAACAGGCGAGCGACAGCGATTCTGGAGTTTCGGATCAGTCCTTTCAAATGATTGGGGAAGAATATCGGTGGTGTGTAAAAAATATTTTATAAAAATAACTTGCTGGAGTGAAATATACATCGATATTTAATTATTTCCATATTTATCAACAGTTCTAGCTTGAATAGAAATGAACACCGCTAAATTGCAAAGTACCGGGGTACTTAAATTGGCTTCCACAGTATGCGACTTGGAACGTACGTTGCTTGGTGGTCAAAGCTTTCGGTACGTATAAAAGACATAGTCAAACGTTATTAATTAAAACTAATATTTGCAGCTGGCGGAAATTGTGCGATGCTCCCCAACCCAAATACTGCGGAGTTGCTCTAAACACCTACTGGGTGCTAGAACCGTCATCTGAACACATAACTTATGAAGCTTATGCGTATCCAACAACAGTATGCGATTACCATACACTATTGTATACTTATCTGCGCGCCGACTTTAATTTGGCAGAGCAACAGCGCAAGTGGGTGAGTTTGGATGCAAACTTTTCTAAATTCGTCAGTAAACCGGTGCGTGTACTTAATCAAGAGCCGTTAGAAAATATCATAAGCTTTTTGTGCAGTCAAAACAATAATATAAAAAGGTATGTAGTACCGGCTTTTTTTTTCGTAAGTGATCCCACCTCTTTTTTGTACCGTAGAATCTCGTCCATGATACAATGGCTTTGCAAAGAGTATGGAATGAAGCTTGGACATTTTCACGGTCAGGATGAATACACATTTCCCACACTCAATGCATTCGAAAATGTTTCGTATGACAAGTTAGCTACTCAGCTACGCTCGGCCAAATTCGGTTACCGTGCTGAATTCCTATCGCGGACGTTGATGTACATCCAGGCACATGATGGCGAGGCTTGGATCGACAAGTTGCGAACAATGCCATATTTTAAGGCACGTGATACTTTATTGCAACTTCCTGGAATTGGTTACAAAGTCGCCGATTGCATTTGTCTGATGTCCTTAAATCATTTAGAGTCAGTACCTGTTGATACTCACATCTATAAGATAGCACAGCAACACTACTTGCCTCAATTGGCAGGCTTCAAGAGCATAACTACTAAGATCTACACAGAGGTTGCGGAATATTTTCGGCAATTATATGGAAAATATGCTGGCTGGGCACAATCGGTTTGTTGATTATGTGGTGAGTGCTAAAATAGTCACGATCATTTTGTTTATCCATAGGTGCTCTTCTGTGCTGACTTGTTGCAGTTCCAGGTAACGGATGCGAAAGTAAATTCAGTGTGCAAGCGTAAAACACCAGGAAATTTAGAAAAGAGCCATACCTTAGGTATGTTTTCATTAGTGAATATTTTTAATTTCAATTTACGTTTTTAGAGTTTATTACCTTTCTTTATTATATAAAATACACAGATTTATCACCACCAAGCACAAACCACGCCCTAAAGCCTTCAAAGACTAAAATTCGAAAAACTCAACCCAAAACTGCATAACATTTGATGTTTGAGTCCAAATAGTAGTGAACGCCTCTGGACATGGTGCCTACTATCCTAATATACAATATCAAATTTGTTATTCATTATAAAGACCGTGTTGATTAGCGTACCAGTCAAAAGTATTCAAATGCATTTTCAGATTATATATATACGTTTATATATACATATATACATTTTTGTTTCCTTGTGCCTTCAATGTTTTTGTGTTTCAATGGATCCAACTTTGAAAAATTAAAGAAACGGAAAGATTTAGGATTGCCTCTAAGAGAAACCCCATAACAAATAACAACATGCTGTTTTTGGTCATCCGGAATCTCAGTGGGAGAGTACCTACCATAGTTATATTCACACTCTCTTCCAGGTTCGCATCATTGGTTTCATGTAAATATACCCAACCTTCATTTTTAGGAATTTCACGTCATACCCTGGCTTTTTGTCTATAATGTTCACGTTAATTACAGAAGACCTTGAACAATCGTAAGTGAAGCTGAATCTCACATCGACTTTTAAAAGCAAAACTTTCCTGATTAGTGGAACTATCTTAAAAATCTATTAAATGGTCTATGATTAAACGTTTAAACAGCTTGTCCCACGAAAAATTTTAATCGATCCGTATTGACTCCTCGAATTGCGATATCCTTCTAGTGTATGTAACTTGGCGTGTTCGCCATCCATATATCCTGTTAATTTTCTTGAAATTAAAACAAACTTCAAACACCAATGTCAGGGATTCTAAATATAATGTTTAGAGTGGACGAAATAAACCCTATTGTCTAGTCAGCAAAAATACGTCCACAACGGACTACAACAGCGGTGTGCCACGAGTTTCGCTTACTTGAACGCCGTCTAAATCTAGTCTAAACTGATCTAGTGTTTCCATCATGAAGTTAGGTAGATAAGCTACCATATCCTCTTTGATCACCAGAAACACTATCTGGAGGCATTTGCCAAACCTGAGTACAAAATTCCAAAAAATTTGGGAAAAAACGAATTGCAGGGGACTGGAGGGTGTGTCAGAATAAAAAATACAAACTTGACCTGCATAGGTCTTGGTCAGATCTGGAGTAACCATGAAAATCCGTTTGCAAATCTTAGCTCAGCGACTCGGCCAAACAGAAGGAAACAGCAGCTGTTAGTATCGGTTAAAAAAAATGAGTTCTGATGCTTATCATAGTATATACGAATACAATGCAGGTAAGTGTATAAGAATACGCTTATGTATGTATGTATAAGTGGTCCAGAAGAATACACTACAAATATATATATTCTTAAATGATCAGCAGAAGACGAATTCAAGTTGTCGTGTCCATATACATATTTGTTCTAAATACTCCTCTCTCGGTCACAAATAGGTTGAGACCGCACAGGTCAGATAATATACATGTTGAGAATGTTGTTGTCTGCCAATAGTTCATCATTTGTGGATCGTGGTAGAGTCTATGAATGAAGAAATGGTTTATATGTGCTGCTCGGATTATAAATAATATATTAAACACATAAGCCCCCCTAACCTTTATCAATGCCAGGAAACTAGTTAGAATAGTTAAGACTCGGTATTTATGTACATATGTGTTCCGGTTTCATTTATTTAATTTTCAACAATTGTATGACATTTCGCTTAATTAGCAATATTAATTGATTAACATTATTGTAGCAGTTTACATTCGAATTGTATGGCTAAAAAGTGTATTTCTGATTCATATGTTTGTACTTTTTACAAAGCGTTTTTGAAAAATTGTATACATTGCCATAGTAGTTGTATATTGAATACTACTCGAATTGGGTGTTTGTTAAACAATACCAAAAAAAAATACTGAACAAAAAATATAAATTATTATAATTACTTTTTATATCATAGAAATAATTATTCAATGTCAAAAATAAGGCATATGCCAAACTATTTTTTACAAATAATAAAGCACATCAACATAAATACTTTGGGTGCTTGTTTTGGAGTTATGAATCATAAACAGAAAAGTGCTCGCACAGTAAACAAAACAAAAAAATAGCTGAAAATCTGCGTCTATTTTAGGAGTGTTGTGTTTCTGCTATTGCTGTTGTTATTTGGTTCTCTTATTTTTGGGATTGAGTTTCTCTTAGTCAGAATGAGTTGACGATGTTGTTGTTACCATTTTAGAGGCCACTATCGAACACAAATTTTGTTGTTGTGACTGGGTTTTGCAATCGATTTAGCTGTTCTTAGTCTTGCAAAAATAAAGCATTTACAACTTTGCGCAGATCTCATTCGTAAACTCTGAGCATTTTGCGCGGCCACCCAAGTCACCTGTGAGGTATTTACCCTCTTTAATGGTTTCGAACGCAGCACGTTCAATGTTATTGGCATGTTCATTAAGCTCCATATGGCGCAACATCATCACTGCAGAAAGCAGTAGTGCAGTCGGGTTGGCTAGATCCTTGCCAGCGATATCTGGTGCAGTGCCGTGCACAGACTCAAAAAGTGCGCCGTTAAGCCCCATGTTGCCTGATGGCGTTAGGCCCAGACCACCGACCAGTCCAGCACACATGTCTGATAAAATATCACCATACAGATTGGGCATCACCTGTTACACAGAGAAACCCTTAAAATATGAGCTGAAATAACTAATGAACAAGTCAACAGTTTCACATACAAGAACATCGTATTTTCCTGGATTTTGGACCATGTTTAGGCATACGGTATCCAAGTAGCGCTCTTCAAACTGTATCTCCGGATATTTCTGCGCTGTGTCACGCGCGCATCGCAGGAAAAGACCGTCCGACATACGCCTTTATAATCAGAGAAACGATATAATCATTATCCAAAAGGCTACACATATAACATTCCTAAATTACATAATGTTCGCCTTGTGCACCACGGTCACCTTTTTGCGATTGTTATTTTTAGCATACTGGAAGGCATACTCAGCGACTCGCATAGACGCCTCCTCCGTAATAAGCTTGATACTTTGAACCACACCGTCAACAATCTCGTGCTCAATGCCAGAGTACTCGCCCTCGGTGTTTTCACGAATTGTGACTACGTCCACGTCATCATACAGTGTTTTATATCCCTCTAGACTGCGACAAGGGCGCACATTGGCATACAAATTGAACTCCTTGCGCAAGGCAAGATTCAATGATCGATGTCCCTTACCAACAGGCGTCATCAATGGGCCCTTCAGGCCAATCTTATTGGTGTTAACTGAATCTATGGCTGCCTGTGGTATGCCAAATTTCCCGTCGGGGCCCTGCATAATGAAAATTAGAATAAAGATGTAAGTGATAATGATTATGTCTGTTTCTCGAGCTATCTTTAGAATGGATTCCAATTATTTATAAATATGAATTTTGTTGGTCAAATATGAACTAAATTTTCCTCCCAATTGTATGTGCAATCTTTGGGGGGGGGGGGGGGGGGGGGGGGCGTCTCCTATAATAAACAAAAAGCCCCTTACTCTTCCCACATAAAAATATACCGATTCATGCTTCTCAAGTGTACAAAAGCACATTTACATAATATAAATGTACATGTGTACTTAATAATTATAAGAATTATATATCCTTAGCTAAGCAATCTATTGTTCGTTGGATAGATAGTCTCAAAGGAAAAGGAGTAACCGATTATATTCGTCCGATACAAAAAAGTACTTACAAAGTTTTCATATTAGGTAGGATAGATAGGAAAACGATGTTTTTTGTTATCATTGTACACATAGGCTTTGTATGTTTAACGAGTCAAGCGCGAAAATCCCGTAAACCGACTTTTGATTAATTGAAACTTTGTTGTGCCAATCATCGCAGATATGTATAAGATATAGTGCACCGATTTGGTTAATACTTCAGATTATTTTCGCATGATCTCATAAGTTTACATAAGATATTGTTATAAACTAAAAGGGGTATTACAAAGATGGTTTCTACACCGATCGTTCCTATGGCAGCCGCCACGATATATAATAACTGCCCCGATTTTGATGAGACCTAAGAAGATCGTGGCGCATTATAATTTATCTTAAAAATACACAAGTTTCTTAAAAGAATAAACAAAAAGTTATATTGCTAAGAGTCATTTCTCCTCCGATCGGTCTAATGGGAGAAGTATAAAATAATGATGCCATAAACTTGAAATAAACTTGTTCTGCCTGTGGATAGACATGTTTGGTACCTCTAGCTGTTATGATTCAAAAGTTATCGGTGCTCATATGAACGAATATGTTTTTATCGATTTGTCTCGTTGTGATCATATACATATGTACGTTTGTAAGAATGTACCTATATACAAATGTATGACATGTGTGCCTCGCCTCCTAGAACTTGTAATAAACAGACTTGTAAGCCGCTAACGCCTCCGTTATGGTTAACCAATCAAAACACAAATATAAATATACAATTCTGAGTTGTATTTTAATATATTTCGATTGGCATATTGCGCAACTTCTCTGATGCAGCTAATATCAATTCAAATACGAGTTGTATATCAGGGTTGCCAGGTTGTACCTATATGTACGGACGACAGTTCATATATACATACATACATACATATGTAGTGAAGAGGCTGTGCTCGTGCTACTTACTCGACAAGTGTCACTATCATACTCACACGGACAGGAGTAACATCAACCGTTTCCCATTCAATGGGCACATTGGCGGCAGTGAAAATCTTTTGCACGGCTGCAGAGATTTCGGGACCAATGCCATCACCAGGTATCAGTGTTACTTTTCTGACACCAGACGAATAAGCGCGATGAGCAGCAGGGGTTGTGTTGACCTTTAATAAATAAAATATAAAAACGAAGAATTTGGTTAGTAAATCTAATGTGAAACAGATTTAGCGATGGGTCGACAGCGATAGTTAGAAACATATACTCTCACATCGTTTTATACATAACGTATGTAAATATACTGATTACATAAGAATAGAGCAACTGACAGCAGAACAGCATCTCACCGGCCGTCAGCAAATATACATACATACATACATAAACGTTAATACATACATAGTAATTATGCTGCATATGTATGCATTAAAAGTTTGCACTGCTATCCCCGCCAATCAGGCTGACAGTAAAATGTTGAGGTTAGTGTGCCTCTGCGGTGTTTGAGACTTTTATGCAACATTAAAAATGAATTAAAATTGAATATGTAAGCACATTTCTAATTTTGTGACGCGTTATAGCACCAGCGACAGAAGCATGATTAGGCCACAGAACAGTGAGCGCAGTACCTTGTGTGTTATGTAAAATACATTTCTTTGATTGATTGCTCTGAAAACATCACATTAGCATATGCATTTTGTTGATGATTGGTAAATGTAGAGTTGCATTTTATTGTCATTTTAGGGAAGCCCAAGCATTACTTTAAGGAGTTTTTTCATAATATACAAATTTGTCCATATTCGAGTGTGGAAGTTTTTGAATTACATACATACTCATGTATGATGTATGATGTACACGTTGTTGAAATAGTGTGTTTTTGTGGTGTAATTTAAACAAAAAACAATGATTTTGACTATTATTATTTAGTATGTTTAAACGCACGAGGGCAGGACTTATATTGTTCCGGTACAAATACTTATGTAGTATACATAACATCTGTCCAATTACGCCAGTTTTTCTTACAATTTTATTTATGAATCTAGCAGCCATTTCTTAGCGTTTACGTATTTTCACTTTAAAATTTAAAGAAATCTCGCCCGCACGTCTCCCTATTCTTAGCCACCTTAGAGAAAACTGCCAAATTTAGATTAAGGTGCAAAAGAAACATCGATTTTTCGATGTTTCGAGTACTATGAATACTCGATATTTATTTACATCGGCCACCATAAAAAGCATGTCAAGATTTTGATATTTGTTGATTGTAAAAAAATTTATTTTTGGTTAAAACCCTTTACAAAGAAATATACATATACTCGAAAATGATAATTTCAATATGATTAAATATGCATGCGTACAATTAAAAACAAGCGAAATTGTCTAGCTTGTCATTTTTATTGGATTTAAAAAATGTTAAGTCCTAAAAGCTTGATAAAAACCAGCGGTGGGCATCACATTTATAATCGGAAGTACTACATCAACAAAAATCACCGGTATAGTTATAAGTAAATCCTACTGGAAATCAAGCAAGGACACCCACACCAAGTGTATTTTATTTTTGCATTAATCTGCCTGTGAGTATGGCTGGCGCCAATTACCAAAACATAACGGCAAGAGTACTAGGAGCCGAAAGAACACCACTACGTGCCCACCATTGCCAACAAAAGTCAAATAAATGTACATATGTACCTTCCTTCATCATACCCTGTACCCAGAGCGTATACTAATGTTAAGGTGGCAGACCCCACAAAATATATACATTACATTCGATCTAGCCATTTCCGTCTCTCTGTACATAAAATAAAACAAGAAAGGAATGCTAAAGTCGAGCAGGCTCAACTCTTAAATACCCTGTACCACCCCACAAAAAAGAAATTAAATTAATTAATTAATTTAATTAATTAACTAAATTAATTTAATTAATTAACTAAATTAGTTTAATTAATTAACTAAATTAATTTAATTAATTAACTAAATTAAAAATAAAATATTCCATACATGCATACATACATTTACATTTACATCGTGTCTATGCGTGTTTGTGTACTTGTACATACATATGTATGTATGTGTGCATTAGGCCTGGTTATATGGCTATAACTTTCTTTCTGATCAATCTATCATAATGAAATTGGTATACGGATATATAATCACTAACTGGATGTGTCTACAAAAAATTTTAGTTCAAAATTCTAAGAATTACGGGAGTTATAGAAAATCTTGAATAGGGGGGGAGTGGGGGGGTACATCGGGAAAAATGAACAAACTCGTCCTTTCTCGGGCTCAGGAGAATCTGCATACCAAGTTTGGTTATTCTAGGTCTTATACTTTCTGAGATCCTGGCGTTCATACAGACAGACAGACGGTCAGACGGACAGACGGACATGGCTATATCGACTCGGCGTGTCATGCTGATCAAGAATATATATACTTTGTGGGGTCTACCAAGCCTCCTTCTGTGTGTTCCATGTACACTCGCACAAAACTAATATACCCTTGTACCCTTTGGGTACAGGGTATAAAAAATACATAAATGAAGTTATGTAGAGTTTCAATAGAAAACATTTACATACATCAACATAACATCATACATAAGTGGAAGCCGTACAGAGTTGGGCCAAAGCATCAACAAGTACGTCAGCTGCGGCCAGAGATTTCACTTATCGCAATCGTCCTCACCTACACATTTACTACTATTTTTTATCTGTACACCTAGCCCTTCTTTAACACGAACTCGGTCTAGTACGATTTTAAATTGTGTCCCCCTTTTAACACGCTAAAAACATCGTTCGTTGAAGAGTATAACGCACTTTTGTTGTCGGAATATACCCAGGGTGTGCAATTAAGACATCTGGATTAATATAGGCCATGGATTAAGTTATAATTTGGATTTTCAAAACATACTACTACCAGTATATTAGACGCACTATACTTGGGATTTCGGATACAACTGAAACGGACTCTATCGATGTAATCAGTGCTGTGAAGAAATCTCCTATTGCCTTAAATTGTTTATTTTATCTCTAAAAGGACTTCGGAAGGCAACCTTGAATGGATATTGGAAGATATTATGGACAGCGGTTACTTTAAACAAAAATACTAAAATGATCACAATATGACAATTGACATTTAATTGAAGGTTTAGGATTCGAAGACATAAATATTAATTATGTCCAAGTATTTGAAGAGAATGGCACGGATAACGAATAATTATTTGAAATTGCTCTGGATGAAGACACCAATTCAAAATCAGATGACAGCAACTCTGAAAAATCTGAACCATATGTTGTTTAACCTTAGAAAAACTTCAATAAGGATTCGCATATGCTAGCAGCTTGGAAAGATCATTCCAGTTGATAAGAGAGTTGGAACAAATACTTTTACCTTATAAGATATGCTACGAATATCCGTTAAAAGCCAATAAAAAATCGCAAAACGTTTTCTTTTGCAAACAAGAGTACCACCACAAACAAACAAAAATGTTGAGCACGAAAACGGCTTATAATTAGATTATATGGTAATGCCATCAAATAGTTCTTAAATTTTATATTAATTTGCTTTAATATTTTTTACGCTTAAAAGTATTTTCCTTCTTAATAAGATTAATCTATTAATAATAAATATTCAACATTTGGAGTAACTGTTTGTTAATTTTAAAAATGCTTTGACCTTTTAAACTGTGGAAGCTACAACAAGAAAATCTTGTTTGTGAATTTGTCGGAATCTAGGAATGTAACGTCTTATTTTGTATGGAGTCAAGGTCTCGTTTAACACGAAGTTTTCTAGGAACGTAACCCCCGTGTTAAATCAGGTCAAGGTGTATTTCAATTATTTTATTCCGTCGATTTCTTCGAGAAAATTTAAACGTGCATCGAAGTTAATTGAAATTAATTCATGTCTGTCTTTTACAGGTATGTTGCGGTATGGTCAGGTATGGTCAATATACAATTCTTCGTACTTTTAAAGATTAATCAGGGTTGCCACAGAAATCTCTTCCACCCAAGTTTCGCCTCAAAACCAATTGTCGGTGGCACAGAAGAAGTTAAAAATAAAATGTATTTTTGACTCAATTATTTTTTCAAATAAGTACCACCTACTGTGTATTAATTAAGCAAACTTGGCAAAAATTGTGTTTCGCAGATTGGGCAAGTCTGTTTGTTAGCGAAAATGTGAATGGTCATAAACTGCCAAAACAAACAAAATGTAAGTACATTTTTGTAATTTCTGGATTCAATTTCAAATGCTAATTTTTGCAAAACATAGATCGCCACAACAGGACGCAATTTTCGTCCAATTTATGGAAGTACACCACGTATTTTCGCGAAACTCCAAATGATGTTATAATAAGTGTTCAATAAACTAAATTTTTAATAAGCAACATTCTTTTGTTGGATCAGATGCACTTTTTAAGCATTTGTGTTGTATTTTTTCAACAATTAACTACCGTTTCCGCAAATACTCGCTGGCTAATATTAATGGAAATGGCACATTTGTTTTTTATTTAACATAGTATGTTACAGAATTTAAACACAATTAGTCAGTCAAATGTACTATTCCGCAGTCAGCTGTTTGGAAGCAGTAATTGTAAAAATTAAAAGAAAACAATTTCCGATGTATTGAAGTCCCTGAATTTAACTCAGCCCATACAAAATTTATATTTCAAGCACTGTTGGGAATTTTGACTTTTTCCCGTCAAATCTGTTTGTTTTTGAAATCGTATTGTCGAAATGCTTGGCTCACTAACAAAAAAGCACTCAAAGTTATGTATGCTTATTTGACTCTTCTACCCGTCAAAAACAGCTTTTCTTGAAAGATGGCAACAGATTTCAAGAGACGAGGATGGCTTACCAGCAGGGCAGCCAATTTCCCTTTTTTTCCCGTCAAATCTGGCTGTTATGTAAGACCGGTTGCTTGAAGCAGGAATTCTGGATTCTTAAGAAATGTGTTTGGCCTTTTTGCCGCTTTTTTTAATTTTGCCACCGGTCATATGAAAACTATAAAAAACTGGCTGTTCATATTTATTTTTATCGATATTTGCTACTGCCCCCACTAATTTAAGGCCAATTATCACCTCAATAGGAAAAGGCTGCGCCAATAGTTACATATGTATTTGTAAAATGACAAAGAAATACACCAAATTCTGTTTTTACACGGTTTTGATTTAACACGGTTTGAAAATGTTATATATTATTACACGACTATTCCATTTAGCACGATTCAAAATAACACAAAATAAATAAATAAAATAAGCTGTGAGCCACTGAATATGCTCAACCGGTGTGCTTGTACATAATATGTATTTTAGGTCAATGCAATTAAAGCCCACTTGTACTTCTTTACATTTATATAATTTTTTTCATTTTTAAAGTTTTCTACTTCAAACGCAGACAATACCACCAATCAACTTCTAGAATTATTCTATATGTGTAAATACAAAATATATTTAAATAAGAGAGAACGCTACAGTCGAGCAAGCCCAACAGCCTGTAGTCTTGACTGTAGACAGTCATAGATCGACTTATCTTGTCGTGATAATTAAGAATACTTTATTTCGTCTGCCACGTCTCCTAAATTTTTCCCCCTCGAAGCATAGTGTAACAATATCGGTGATGCTCGATGTACCGCTACACCCATAGCTTCACATATGTATACATACATACATACATATATGCAAATCGTATGTCATTAAGGTCCTAAGGATAATAAAATTAAGAAACTGTAAGAGATTATAACGTGACGTAGCAGGAGACCTGGACCACGGTTCAATAACGATGTCAGTCTCACTGCAGAATATTCTTAAAATTAGATCTATGCTTTTAATTCAAATCAATTTGCTTATTATTAAAGTTAAGCGGGGGTGCCACAGAAATCTCTTTCGCCCAAATTTCGCCAAAATCAAATCTCTTTTTGGGACCTCTCAAATAATTTATGTTTTGTCTAGAGATTTAATTAACAACACTAACACATAAAATTTAACATTGGAATATAAGCTTTAAAGTTTTTCTGAACAATCTGCAATAAACATATTTTGCATATCCTATGTAAATATTATTAAATTAGAAAATTTTTAAATCTCTAGATAACACTTTAGTATTTACACACAGCATCCAAAACAACTGAACAAAAGAGATGCCCAAAGACAAATTTACATATTTTGAACATCAGATTTTTCTGAGTTAAGTTATATTTTGTGAAACAAAAGGTAAAAATAAAATATATATTGAAATAAGTACCAATACACTGTGTATTAATGAAATAAACTTGTTTTACAGAGAAATACGCTGGTGGTGCGTTTGTATCATCGTATGTGACTTTTTAAGAAAAAATATATATTACAACGCATACTATCAAAATCTAGATTTTACCACATTCCTCACATCGAGTTTTGTTCTTGAAGAAAAAAATTACCTCATAGCACATAGTATGTACTTCCAAAATCAAGTTTGTACGAAATTGAAAAAATTTGGCTACCAAATAATAATTTCATATCTAATGCTTCAATGGCAAAACCTTTTATAAAATATGACTTAACAAACTTCTCAAGAAATGTCATTCCCTCTGTTTTCCATTGTTCCGAAATTGGTAAGTTCTTTATGTTGCTAAGTTGTCGCACGCAAAAAAACTAATCAAGGCTTGTACTCGTTGGAAAAGTATCGATGAACATTAAATTTTTCCTTTGTAGTGTCCCCATATTGTGTTGCGATACTAATTCGTACTCGGTACTTATTTATATCGTACGTATACATTTATTAAACCAATAATTGTTTTTACAAAAATATTCGGTTGGTTTACACAAGCTAGTTTCTTAGGGACGATACAAGTAGAACTACAGGTAATTATCTAACCAGCATGGCAACAATTTCCAAGGCTAAACATACTTATTAAATTTAACTTCATAAATCTATATATGTATATATATGCATGTATTATTAGTATTAGTAACAGTTACAAATATATCGGAAACATCGTATATGCAGTGTGCAAACAATATGTATTAAATTTGAATTGTGGCGCAGCAAAGGTGATCTATCGGATAATGTTATCGGTGCAACCGTAAACTCGGCATCGATATCGCTGTGTCTCTTACATCTCCACTTGCTACAGGTTCAGTTTTTAAAAATATATGCATTTTTCTGCTAATTCCACAAATAAGGTCCCGGTAATTAAACAAATTCTGTAAAAAGACAGATTTGCGAGAGTGATTTGGTTTATTTCTGCAGTCGTGTCTGTAATTTCGTGTAATACTCGAAAAAAAAAACGTAGAACAAAGCTGTTCTACGGTCGTTATCAATAAAGTGTGCTGTTGCTTGTTCGAGCAGGGAATTGTCATCGCGAGTTTTTTTTCGCGTCTCAGTTTAGATTTTTGATACCAGCGCGAAACAACCCCGTAATTTTCTCTGATGTTTCGCGCGATCTCTTGTGGAAATAACACGCTTAATAAAAGCGGAGTTGTCTAGATGATCATATTGTTTAATTCTGGATCTGTTTTGCCATTGCAAGTTGCTTTTTGATTGTACAAATTGTCTGATCAAAGGACCGAAAGCATCGCATCCGTATCCGAGTTCCCGCTTGTATCAGTTATCGCGTGTATTCAGGCTCTACGAAGGCCAAGTTACACCTTTAAAGGTAAGTGCCGTGCATGTGTGAGAATATAATGTTAATTTCATATAATTCGGGATACTTTAACAAGCCAACAACAGCGATTTTTAGTACTCATACATAGGTATAAACACATCATACTTGCTATGCAATACCAATCGCACGTCTTCGGCCGCAAGCTGTACGGCCGTTGCTGGGAAAGTGCGACTCGTTTGGTAAGGGCTCATACGCTTGCCAAATGCCGTGTGTTTGCTGCTAAGTTAACTTTTTTTTCAACAATAATACAAACTTCAGTCCTTCTAGTTTAGATAAATGCGTGGCTCGGGCCACTGGTTAAAACTGTTAGCTGCGTAACATAGGACTTAGTTTGTAAACCCATCCACCTTCATATGTACGTTTGTATGTATATATGTATGTACATTTGTGTTGTACAATTAATTATTTTCAGCGCTCGGACCATAACTGGTTACCGCGCCACCGTAAGCGTAATTATCACACTGGAGAAGCAAAATAGACGCGTGCAGCTTATCCGGGATAAAATGGTGTTGGCCGAGCGCAACACCACGGAGTTGGCACGCAATGGGCGTCGTTCACGCGGCCCTAGTCCCAATACTCATGCAGGTGGTGGAGGCACAGTCAATGTGAATAGTACTGGTGGTGGTGCAAGCAGCGGCGCTAGCAGTGTAGGTGGGAACTCGACAAATGTCACAGCAAATGAGAAGGCCAGCAATGTCACAACGACCGTACCGGGTGCGGGCACACCGGAGAGCTCAGACGATGATAACTGTAAGAATAATTAACTGATTCAGCATCTGCAATGCAGCAAACTAAATCTGATGTTTTTCGTTTTATCATGTGCAGCAACGAAACGTAACGGGAAATCAAAGGCTAAACAATCCGAGTATGAAGGTAAGTTCCGCAGCTAGTTTTTTGTTGTGTTCTAAACTCTCCCTTTTTCCATACAGAAAAGATTCGCGTTGGCCGTGATTATCAAGCGGTGTGTCCACCGCTCATACCTGAAGTAGAACGTCGCCCTGAGCTTATGAATGAGCGCGCTTTGTTGGTCTGGTCGCCTACTAAAGAGATACCGGACATGAAACGTACGTAACAGATGCGTCGATTTTTATATCTTTTAACATATATATTATTTTTTTCTTGCGTAGTGGAAGAATATATTTCTGTGGCCAAAGAAAAGTACGGCTACAATGGTGAGCAGGCATTAGGAATGTTATTTTGGCACAAACATGATCTTGAACGTGCTGTCATGGATTTGGCTAACTTCACACCGTTTCCCGATGAGTGGACTATGGAGGATAAGGTTTTATTCGAACAAGCATTTCAATTCCATGGGAAAAGCTTTCATCGCATACGCCAGATGGTAAGTTCCTCAGGCCTACATTTCAGCAACATATTAAAAAAATGAATGAGATTTTAAAGAATAAACAAATAAAGTAAAGAAAACAAGATGAATCTCTGCCCGGTGAAGGAATTTTTTAGCTAGTACGGCAAGATATGCCCCGTACCACAGTTTTGTGTGATCAGAGATTTCGAAGATGACTGAAAAGAGAGGCTATTAGAAAGAGTGTTCGGTTGAGTGCAGATGAAAATGGTTATAATAAATAAAGCATAATGGAAAGGATTCTGCAATGCATTACCCCCCTTGTACATCTATTAGAAATAAGAGAAATATAATTTCTTACTGTTCTGCAAGGAACAGAAATTAAGTTGGAAAGGAAGGATGAATAGAAAGTCCCGACAATCAAATTGTTAAGGAAAACAAACTCCAAGGGCTGTCGCCCGATCAGTCAGCCAAGAAAGATTATTGAGCATAAGTCTGCTTGAGTAAGGAGGCAAATAAACGTTCAAACCACGAAGAGCAAAAAGAAGAATATGTTTCTGAACCGAGTCAATCCGATCTTGATGTGTATGAAATATTAGTAATATCGCGGGACGAATAGAAATTTTGAAATATACTTGTACTGCGTACTCAGCAATTTGGTATCTTTCGCTCTTATAGTCTCCAAGATCTAGACAGACGGAAAGTTTTGTAATTGTGTTTTAATGTCTTTGGCAGCGATATCTATAATTTTAATGCGTCTTTCCTTGCCCCAAAAATAATGTTACAGGGTAAAACAACAATATCCCGGTAATAATAAGAAAGAAAGAGATAGAAACATACTTATTTCTCTCACGTACATATGTAAATATAAAGACTATTGTGCTATCATTGCTGCAGTATATAAGTCATTTCTCTAACCCTTCGGGTACAGAGTATAATGCAAATCAATACGTAATTCATATTTCGTGCTTAGAGATTTTGACCAGGAAAATTAGTCAGAAATATACTGCTACAGAGTATGGAAATTATTTGTAATATGTTTAATAATTATACCAAATACCAAATTTGTCTTTTCATAAACAGCTGCCAGACAAATCAATTGCCAGCCTGGTCAAATACTACTACTCGTGGAAAAAAACGCGCCACCGTAGTAGTGCCATGGATCGCCAGGAGAAGCCTATTAAAACAGCAGTAAAAGATGGCTCCGAGAATGGCAGCGAAGTGGGCAGTAATGAAGAATCTGATAACGATGACAAGGTAATTATAGACATAACTCGTCAAAGCAAGACCACACCTTACATCATCCTAAGAAATACTTACACAATTACACACACATAACATAATTAATTATGTAATTATGTTTCAAACATTATAAAAATACGCACACAAAAGACGACGTACTCACATACCCCTTCACTCACCATACATCACAAAGCATCTTTTAAGATAATGGCTTCATATGCATACAAAATATACATCAATTTTTGCTCTACTAACTTATTACAAACAGTTGAAAAGAAATGCGTCAAACTATTTTAATATTAAGTTCGTCTTAATAGGACTCAAATATGCATAACGCTAAGTACAACAAATATAAGTGTTTCCAATTCGAAATAAAAAAAAGATGCTCTGCCCCGCTCACTAGCTTTGGTTATAGCCTTGATTGTAGTGGGTTTCGGGTGCTTCTTTAAAACCCTGTATAAAATCCCGGTTTTTTTTTTTTGGGGGAGCCATGGAATAAAATCGCTAAGTTCACTAGACGACTAAGGCATTTTTTCAGAACTTGTTATTAAAATATTTATCTTCAAACTTAATATTGGAAATATAGGTTTAAAATCATTCAAGATTCAAGTCAGATATCAAAAATGCAAAATTGGTACTGTGCTCAAAACATCTCAAGCCGACAGCCTCATACCAAAATGATCGATTTATGATTGCGTATATTAAAATAAGACGCAGTTAGAAACCCAAATACTATACATTGAAAATCATAATCTACATATTTATAGTTTTTTTTTTTGTTGAATGTTAGAAAAGAAAATAAATAGGTACATATACTTGTATTCATTTGCTTGCAATTTATTTACTAATACGCTTTTAAATAATTTATGAGTATATCGTCATGATAAAGTACCTGTTAGTTATTTGAGATAATTGTCCGATTTCTGTCAAAAATATATAAAACCACCACATCGAACTTGGTTGAGATAGTTTTAAAATCAAAGGATCGCATATCTTAATATTTTACCTTTTGTGCTACCACTTAGCTGCATATATTTATGATTTTCGTTTCCAAATGACCATATCCCCACTGATAATTCTTAGAAACTTCTCCAAGCTCGAAGGCAAACAAAAAGAATTTGCTAGCATCTCACATACTATTAAACATAGGTGATTAGTTTTTGGAAAATTGCATTTTTACATGTTTTGTTTGGGAAGAACAATTATGTATGTGTACTTTTAGTTCGCATTCATTTTTGTTTTGGGACTTCTTCCATAAAAAAATGATAATTACAATCAAGAAGTATGTGTTTCTCGTTGAAAATATATTTTAAAAGCCATTTAGGAGTAATATTGATTAATCTATCTTTTACCAGAAAATTGTAAAATCGGTCGTATTCATATAAGAACAAATTACTCAATTTATAAACAAAACTTTTCCAATCAAACCTATCGATTTGGTTGAGATAGCCTTTAAATAAAAGAATTTATAGCAAAGTCGCCCAAAATTATTTAAGCTTGCAGTATAGGAATATCTTTATATAGAATGTATCTTATATACCATGCTTGGGCAATGTGTGCTAAGCCGTTTTCGAAATCTATGCCGATCTTGCATACATTTACGAAACAAGAAACTCCTTTATGAAGTAAGAAACTTAGTGCGAAAGTAAAATTGCAACTCAAACAAACAGTTTCAAAAGTTTGAAGTCTGATTAATTATATTACTATTGTTTGGTCATCCGGCCAAAAACTGCCAAAACCGACAGCACATCATAGTTAATAAGTAACGTAAATAACTCAATACAAAGTGCTCGTTTTCTTGTCACTTGCTTTGCATAGCAAGCTGAGCACTTAACGTTTCCTTTTGTTGCTTGCCATAAATTTGCATAGGCTGCTACGCAGCCGCCACATATGTACTAGTTATTGTCGCTAACTCTGCAAGTTAAGTTTTTTCGTTATCGAATCTGGTACGGAGAAGCTTAGCTTTCCGTCTACCAGCATAAACTTTGTAAATCGCGCAAAACACACAAAATCGTAGTCGGTGATCGCTACCTATGCAAAATAAACATTTGTGAACCTCTTTTAAATTGAACACTTTCGTTTTCGCTTATTTTGCAATTATTTCGCCAACATAATTTCGCATATTTGGAATCATAAAAAAGCTTATGATTATACAACTATAAAAAAAGAAATCGAAAACATATATTTAAATATTTATTTTAATGTTTTAACCATTTGTATTAACGATAAGAACATTAAAGCCGTGAATGCCCTACAGTTATACAGTTTTGGCACTAAGATTAATTTGTACACCGATCGTTCCTACGCCAGCTGGGTATATGGTAAAGTGCGCCGATTTTGATGAATTTAAAAAAAATATCTGTGTTTTAAGAGACAGGCAGAGGTCTTAAACCACGCAAACCTACAAGCTATTGTTATGCCCTTCAGTGTAAATAATATGATGAAAGGCACAGATATGTCGAAAGCAACCATTGTAGATCACTATATCACATAGCTGTGATTTCAAAATTTTTGAAATTTGCATGACCAAAAAACCTTTATAAACAAAAATATAGTACGTACTACAAGTACGGAAACATATCTGGTTGAGAGCTGTCAATAACGATGTTCAATCGCAGCTACGGTGCGCAAAATACGTCCCAATTTCGGTCGTTATCAATTGACTTAGGAGATGTCTGTATGCAACTTAATCAAGAAGTCCCAATAAGCTGGTTCAGCTCATGGTGTGAAGTCACCCCGAACGTTCAATGAATAATATCTCAATAAAATAGCTTCGGCTTGTCGGTTACAGTCAATGGAATGTGCTACGAAGGCAAGATAAGCTATTATCTGTAGAAAGTGATCGAGTATATGGAGATAAATAGGCGACCTTTGCCTTCAACAGGAAACCACAAGTCGCGAAACAATAGAATTTATTTCACAAACTTTAATAATTGTGTAATTAAATTCCCGTCTTAGAAACATAAATTGATCACCTATGTAGGCTATTAATTTCCTTTTTACGAGTAAGTTCGAACGTTAAAGCTGCCATTGGCCAAATAAAGTTATTATAATACTAATACAAATTGGGAAAATAAGTCAGCAGAGTAGATGGAAGATATTGTGTTCCATATATAATTACCATATGTATATGTATTTTAATTCAATTAAATCTGAGATATATTCCATTTTTTCGTCTACCTCGTCGTACCTCACAGCAGGCAGAGGGGAAAAGACGTGTTCGTCAGCTACCAGATGAAGCAAAAACAAACAAAAAAATTCCGCGATGGTCAACAAAATTCGAAACAAATGCTCTTAAACAGGGAAAAGGGATACCTAACAAATCTTCACCAACTGGATAATTGATAATTGCGTGGCAAAGTCAATCCCCAATTATCCTGTAGAAACTTGTTGACATTCAATATCGAATCATTAAGAATAATGAGGATATGCAGGCTATTAAATATGTTTGTTTTACTAATTCAGTGCAAAGCGAGACTAACGAAACTTCAAATGCAATCACTGATTTTCCATAACTCCCGTATTTCTCGGAATTTTTAATTGAAATTGCCCAGTTAGTTATTATGATTATAGTCCGTATGCCAAGTTTCATTATGATAGGCCAATTTACCAGGAAGGTATAGCCATTTATAAAACCTCAGGCCAAGCACTACCTGCAGCTGTTGTGGTTGTTGCTGCTTTGCACAGGTACATACACACACAAACACGAATACAGTCACATAATTATTCTACGCAGAGTACAGAGTATTTCAAAGTCGGGACGACTTTAGTTTCTCCACTTGTTATACCCTGTACCCAAAGGGTAAAAGTTTTGTGCGAATGTATGTAACACACAGAAGGAGGCGTGGCAGAGTACACACACAAAGTATATACTATATATTATTGATCAGTTTGTGAAGACGAGTTGATATAGCCATGTCTGTCTGTATGCAATTTTTATCAGCATTACGAGAGAAACCGATCTAGACATGTCCGTTGGACTGCCCGTCTGTTAAACTGCAGCATCAAATTCGCTCTTATTTTTGCTTCTGCTATGGGTGCATATAACGAAGTGCCGGTAGTTTGTATCGATGAAAGGTATTTCACTGTCAGGATGCTAGACTGCAGCTTTCTGTCTTGCTTAAAATGAATTTTAAACTTGTCCTTAATATTGTCCTTAATCTTTCAGGTTATAAAAATAATCGAGCTAAAAAGTTATATTCCTCTTCGGGAAAGCTTTATTTTATTCTCTCCGCTGTGTTTTACAACAAAATTGTGTTACAACATACAGTGGTGGAAAAAATAATAGAAACGACATTCCACTTTTCACTAAAAGCTCCAGTCGTCAATTTCTGGGAAAATTATATGGGTTTCTTTTACTATGCACGATAACTGGTTAAAGGTACTTCATTGTGATTTCCTTTTAATGCGTATTCTGGCAGAAATATTTGCTGTGTGCTCTGATTTGTTAGGTGACTACGTTTTTAGGTTGGAAAAAAATATAAACGCATATACTTTTTGTAATAATATTGCATTGTAAAGCGCCCATTAAACTTATTTTGGTAATATTTTGACATTATAAATAAAGGGTAAGCTCAAAATAACAATTGTTGCAAAATAATCCTCTTAATAGTGGTATAAAGATAAGATTAGGTCGGGGATATCATTTCACAGCTACGAAAAATTTCATAATTAAGCTTAAAAGCAAATCAATGGCTGTAATTGCAATATTATCGAACTGAACTAAAAATAAGGTGTTTTTTTGCGGTTCATTTTGAATCAAAACGGTATAAACGAGGTAAAACGCACACTAAGTCTAAACAATTTTAGAAACTTCTTTTACGGCAGTCCAAAAAATACCCAATTTGTTCATCAGGAGATCTATGAAAGCAGTTAAATAGACTCGTTTCTAGTCGTACAATAATAAATAGGCTAATGGATGCTGATTTGAAAGCACATTCTGCAAGAAAAGTACCACTACTTATAAAAACCAAAATTTCTCGGGACGCATTCCTTTTCCAAAAGGCATTTAGTGC